GGTGTTGGTGTCTCCCCCACCATGTTGTAGGTGTTGGTGTCTCCCCCACCTTGTTGTAGGTGTTGGTGTCTCCCCCACCTTGTTGCAGGTGTTGGTGTCTCCCCCACCTTGTTGTAGGTGTTGGTGTCTCCCCCACCATGTTGTAGGTGTTGGTGTCTCCCCCACCATGTTGTAGGTGTTGGTGTCTCCCCCACCATGTTGTAGGTGTTGGTGTCTCCCCCACCTTGTTGTAGGTGTTGGTGTCTCCCCCACATTGTTGTAGGTTTTGGTGTCTCCCCCACCTTGTTGTAGGTGTTGGTGTCTCCCCCACCATGTTGTAGGTGCTGGTGTCTCCCCACCTTGTTGTAGGTGTTGTTGTCTCCCCCACCATGTTGTAGGTGTTGGTGTCTCCCCCACCTTGTTGTAGGTGTTGGTGTCTCCCCCACCTTGTTGTAGGTGTTGGTGTCTCCCCCACCTTGTTGTAGGTGTTGGTGTCTCCCCACCTTGTTGTAGGTGGTTGGTGTCTCCCCCACCATGTTGTAGGTGTTGGTGTCTCCCCCACCATGTTGTAGGTGCTGGTGTCTCCCCCACCTTGTTGTAGGTGTTGGTGTCTCCCCCACCATGTTGTAGGTGTTGGTGTCTCCCCCACCTTGTTGTAGGTGTTGGTGTCTCCCCCACCTTGTTGTAGGTGTTGGTGTCTCCCCCACCTTGTTGTAGGTGTTGGTGTCTCCCCCACCATGTTGTAGGTGCTGGTGTCTCCCCCACCATGTTGTAGGTGTTGGTGTCTCCCCCACCATGTTGTAGGTGCTGGTGTCTCCCCACCTTGTTATAGGTGTTGTTGTCTCCCCCACCATGTTGTAGGTGTTGGTGTCTCCCCCACCTTGTTGTAGGTGTTGGTGTCTCCCCCACCTTGTTGTAGGTGTTGGTGTCTCCCCCACCTTGTTGAAGGTGTTGGTGTCTCCCCCACCTTGTTGTAGGTGTTGGTGTCTCTCCCACCTTGTTGTAGGTGTTGGTGTCTCCCCCACCTTGTTGTAGGTGTTGGTGTCTCCCAGACCATGTTGTAGGTGTTGGTGTCTCCCCCACCTTGTTGTAGGTGTTGGTGTTTCCCCCACCTTGTTGTAGGTGTTGGTGTCTCCCCCACCTTGTTGTAGGTGTTGGTGTCTCCCCCACCATGTTGTAGGTGTTGGTGTCTCCCCCACCATGTTGTAGGTGTTGGTGTCTCCCCCACCATGTTGTAGGTGTTGGTGTCTCCCCCACCTTGTTGTAGGTGTTGGTGTCTCCCCCACCTTGTTGTAGGTGTTGGTGTCTCCCCCACCTTGTTGTAGGTGTTGGTGTCTCCCCCACCATGTTGTAGGTGCTGGTGTCTCCCCCACCTTGTTGTAGGTGTTGTTGTCTCCCCCACCATGTTGTAGGTGTTGGTGTCTCCTCCACCTTGTTGAAGGTGTTCGTCCCTCCCCCACCTTGTTGTAGGTGTTGGTGTCTCCCCCACCTTGTTGTAGGTGTTGGTGTCTCCCCCACCTTGTTGTAGGTGTTGTTGTCTCCCCCACCTTGTTGTAGGTGTTGGTGTCTCTCCCACCTTGTTGTAGGTGTTCGTCCCTCCCCCACCTTGTTGTAGGTGTTGGTGTCTCCCCCACCTTGTTGTAGGTGTTGGTGTCTCCCCCACCTTGTTGTAGGTGTTGGTGTCTCCCCCACCTTGTTGTAGGTGCTGGTGTCTCCCCCACCATGTTGTAGGTGTTGGTGTCTCCCCCACCATGTTGTAGGTGCTGGTGTCTCCCCCACCTTGTTGTAGGTATTGGTGTCTCCCCCACCATGTTGTAGGTGTTGGTGTCTCCCCCACCTTGTTGTAGGTGTTGGTGTCTCCCCCACCTTGTTGTAGGTGTTGGTGTCTCCCCCACCTTGTTGTAGGTGTTGGTGTCTCCCCCACCATGTTGTAGGTGTTGGTGTCTCCCCCACCATGTTGTAGGTGTTGGTGTCTCCCCCACCATGTTGTAGGTGTTGGTGTCTCCCCCACCATGTTGTAGGTGTTGGTGTCTCCCCCACCTTGTTGTAGGTGTTGGTGTCTCCCCACATTGTTGTAGGTGTTGGTGTCTCCCCCACCTTGTTGTAGGTGTTGGTGTCTCCCCCACCATGTTGTAGGTGCTGGTCTCTCCCCCTCCTTGTTGTAGGTGTTGGTGTCTCCCCCACCTTGTTGTAGGTGTTGGTGTCTCTCCCACCTTGTTGTAGGTGCTGGTGTCTCCCCCACCTTGTTGTAGGTGCTGGTGTCTCCCCCACCTTGTTGTAGGTGTTGGTGTCTCCCCCACCTTGTTGTAGTTGTTGTTGTCTCCCCCACCATGTTGTAGGTGCTGGTGTCTCCCCCATCTTGTTGTAGGTGTTAGTGTCTCCCCCACCTTGTTGTAGGTGTTGGTGTCTCCTCCACCATGTTGTAGGTGTTGGTGTCTCCCCCACCATGTTGTAGGTGTTGGTGTCTCCCCCACCTTGTTGTAGGTGTTGGTGTCTCCCCCACCTTGTTGTAGGTGTTGGTGTCCCCCCCACCTTGTTGTAGGTGTTGTTGTCTCCCCCACCATGTTGTAGGTGTTGGTGTCTTCCTCACCTTGTTGTAGGTGTTGTTGTCTCCCCCACCTTGTTGTAGGTGTTGGTGTCTCCCTCACCTTGTTGTAGGTGCTGAGGTCTCCCCCACCTTGTTGTAGGTAGGTAGGTAGGTAGATAGGTAGGTAGGTAGGTAGGTAGGTAGATAGGTAGGTAGGTAGGTAAGCAGGTAGGCAGGTAGGTTGGTAGGTAGGTAGGTAGTTAGGTAAGTAGGTAGGTAGGTAGGTAGATAGGTAGGTATGTAGGTAGGTAGGAAGGTAGGTAGATAGGTAGGTAGGTAGGTAGGTAGATAGGTAGGTAGGTAGGTAAGTAGGTAGGTATGTAGATAGGTAGGTAGGTAAGTAGGTAGTTAGGTAGGTAGATAGGTGGGCAGGTAGATAGGTAGGTAGGTGGTAGATAGGTAGGTAGGTAGGTAGGTAGGTAGGTAGGTAGGTAGATAGGTAGGTAGGTAGGTAAGTAGGTAGGTAGGTAGATAGGTATGTAGGTAAGTAGGTAGTTAGGTAGGTAGATAGGTGGGCAGGTAGATAGGTAGGTAGGTACGTAGGTGGTAGATAGGTAGGTAGGTAGGTAGGTAGGTATAATATTTGTTAAGAGACAGGACAAGTGTTTCCTGACGCGGGTCTTAGTTATCTGATGACCTGCAGCTGGAGCTTTTGGTCATCTGACCGAGGCCTTCCCCTGGCTGGGATGGAATTAGAATTGAGGCGTAGCTAGATCCTGATGGAACAGTAATTATGTTAGGAAAGTGAATTCTAGAGAAACCTTCGTGACCCTCGTAGACTAGATTCTTACTCAGTAACTAAGACTTTCAGACACTTGAAGGACGTTCAAGACGAAGAATGGAAAAAAGTAGCATTTTTCCACAGTGTTCACTCCGTGTTCATACACTGTTCAATGTTCACACAGTGTTCACTCCGTGTTCATATACTGTTCAATGTTCACACAGTGTTCACTCCGTGTTCATATACTGTTCAATGTTCACACAGTGTTCACTCCGTGTTCATACCACTGTTCAATGTTCAACACAGTGTTCACTCCGTGTTCATTTAAACTGTTCAATGTTCACACAGTGTTCACTCCGTGTTCATATACTGTTCAATGTTCACACAGTGTTCACTCCGTGTTCATACACTGTTCAATGTTCACACAGTGTTCACTCCGTGTTCACACACTGTTCACACAGTGTTCACGCAGTGTGAACACTGTGTGAACACTGTGTGAACACTGTTCAAACAATGTTCACACGGTGTTCACGCAGTTTCTGCCAATGGCGCAGGAATAGATAGCTACGCTGACTCATCTTCCCACATCTCAAGGATATATATATATATTTATATATATATAATATATATAATATATATTAATATTATATATATATATATATAATTAGGGTTTACTCTGCAAGATATAACTGCTGAAATGTATTTGGGACAATGGTTGATAGTCTTTTGTTTTCTTCTGATCCTGTATAAGAAGTTGTTACCTTTCTCTTTGTTGTGGTACGTTGTGTAGGCGACAGAAGAGAGGCTGCAGCAGTGGTGTTGGGTTGTGGTTGTGGAAAGTGGATCAAGGCATTACCAAGAACTTGGGGACTCTCGTGCAAGGTCCTCCGTGAACGAGGTTTCACTCGGGAGAGTGAATGAGTCTTAGATGAGAGAAAGAACTAGGAACATTAGGACGAGTGAAAGAACTGGGAACATGAGCCAGTAAGATGGCACGAAAGTGAATTCATAGCTCAGTTATATTTCACATCAACATTGATTATACTGGACATCAACAATGATTATACTAGGCATCAATATTGGTTATACTAGGCATCAGTATTGGTTATACTGGACATCAATATTGATTATGCTGGACATCAGTGTTGGCACCGTTGTAGCTTAAAGGAGTTAATATTTTGTCAATATTACAGTTTGTATTTCGTCCTCTGGTTACAAGTTCTTTCCTTATAAAACAAAATCCTGCGTCACTGAAGCCGGGTTGTTGTTTTTCGGCCAAGAGTAACAAGAGTGAAGTTACATTATGTGGTAGTAACTGGCTTTTGTTGTGATTGCTTCAGTGATGCGTTGATTTACTTGTAATTGATAATATAAATTTTAAATGAAAGTCCAAATGTACTCCAAGTAAGCCTTTTCGGCACCTTTTCTAGGCCTTTTGTATATCCGTATGCTTTTGTGTGTGTGTGTGTGTGTGTGTGTGTGTGTGTGTGTGTGTGTGTGTGTGGGTGTGTTGTGTGTGTATGTGTGTGTGTGTTGTGTGTGTGTGTGTTGTGTGTGTGTGTGTGTGTGTTGTGTGTGTTGTGTGTGTGTGTGTGTGTTGTGGTGTGTGTGTGTGTGTGTGTGTGTGTGTGTGTGTGTGTGTGTGTGTGTGTGTGTGGTGTGTGTGTGTGTGTGTGGTAGTAGTATATTAACAATGTGTGTTTCTGTCAACAGAGGGAGAGCATCAGTGAGAGTGTCACTGAGGATGGGATCACCAGAAGACACAAGGTAAGTCTACTCAGCTACTGAGTCATGTCCTCAGCTCCATTATATACTACCACCACATAGACTATGACCACGTCTTCATAACACACAAGGTAATCTTGACCTTCTTCAGTAACACTACATGTTTATCTCGTGTTGTCAACGAGTATTTGACAAAAAACCGTCTTCAGATTAATTCACTCTTTAGAAACTCTTCTCCCAGGTAATTATCAGTTGTAAGTGAGTTAAAAATTTCTCCGACTATGTCAGCTGTATGACTCGGATTAATTAAACTCTGGTTTTAAGAGATAATAATCCAACAGTATTAAGTAAAAAGAACAAAAATGGCACAATACCCTGACTGGAACAAACCACAAATAACCCGCACAATTTGGACCATTTACAAGCCACTTGTAAATGGCCCAAATTGATAAATTAGACACATGTGCAACACTTGGGTATCTTTATTCAGGAAACGTTTCGCCACACAGTGGCTTCATCAGTCCTATACAAAGAAGAATGGTGAAGATCAGAAGGAGTTTGAGGTAATCAGTCCCTCAGCCTGGAGTAAATGTAATCAGTCCCTCAGCCTGGAGTAAATGTAATCAGTCCCTCAGCCTGGAGTAAATGTAATCAGTCCATCAGTCTTGAAAAGAACCGAGTATATGCGCGAAATGGCTTATATACTGTAGACAGGTGAGGTGAAGCAGTCGTAGGTGATATCACATAAATGGTTCTCTGAACCATTTACCTAAAAATGGTCCAGATAGGAGCGAAACGTCGGCGAAAGTTTCTTTCTCTCCTGTGTGCTGGTTGTGTATTAGGTGAAACTACGATCTTCTCTTAGTTGATAATTTGTACGATTTGCGTTTGGTTGCTGGAAGCTGCGTCGTGCGATGCCTGACGTGGAGTCCAGCCACTTGCTGGTGAAGGGCTCTTGGTCCGAGGAGCCGGGGCTCTCCTTCCCTGGATCTCCAGAAGCTATATGGTCCTTGTGGATTGGGCTACCTGGAGTCTACCTGGAGGGTATTCCGGGGATTAACGCCCACGCGGCCCGATCCACGACCAGGCCTCCTGGTGGATCAAGGCCTGATCAACCAGGCTGTTACTGCTGGCCGCACATAGTCCAAAGTACGAACCACAGCCCAGCTGATCCGGCAACGACTTTAAGTATCTGTCATGCTCCCTCTTGAAGGCAGCCAGGGGCTTATTGGTAATTCCCCTTATGCATGGTGGGAGGATGTTGAACAGTCTTGGGCCCCGGACACTTATGGTGTTTTCTCTTAGTGTACCAATGGCGCCCCTACTTTTATGATAAACACTGAAAATCGCTACAAAGATAGTTACAAAGTATACACAGATAGTTATATGGTATACACAGATAGTTATATGGTATACACAGATAGTTATATGGTATACACAGATAGTTATATGGTATACACAGATAGTTACATAGTATACACAGATAGTTATATGGTATACACAGATAGTTATATGGTATACACAGATAGTTACATAGTATACACAGATAGTTATATGGCATACACAGATAGTTACATAGTATACACAGATAGTTATATGGTATACACAGATAGTTATATGGTATACACAGATAGTTACATAGTATACACAGATAGTTACATAGTATACACAGATAGTTATATGGCATACACAGATAGTTACATAGTATACACAGATAGTTATATGGTATACACAGATAGTTATATGGCATACACAGATAGTTACATAGTATACACAGATAGTTATATGGTATACACAGATAGTTATATGGTATACACAGATAGTTACATAGTATACACAGATAGTTATATGGTATACAGAGATGGTTATATTTTATAGTGGGTGTAGCCTGCCCCCTAGCAGGTGTAGCCTGCCCCATAGCAGGTGTAGCCTGCCCCATAGCAGGTGTAGCCTGCCCCCTAGCAGGTGTAGCCTGCCTCCTAGCAGGTGTAGCCTGCCTCCTAGCAGGTGTAGCCTGCCCCTATCAAGTGTAACCTGCCTCCTAGCGGGTGTAGCTTGTCCCCTAGCAAGTGTAGCCTGCCCCCTAGCGGGTGTAGCCTGCCTCCTAGCAGGTGTAGCCTGCCCCCTAGCGGGTGTAGCCTGCCCCTTAGCAGGTGTAGCCTGCCCCCTAGCGGGTACTGCAGGCTAGACGCCCCAGACCAGACACTGGTTAGTGTGTCAGTCCTCGTCCAGGTGTGTGGCAGGTATGTGGGCGGTGACCCACAAGTGTAGGTTAACCTGCTACCCACTGTCTCCCTCTCTCACCGCACCTCAACCCTACCACGCTTGTTCATCTCCCTAAACAACGGCTCTCCCTTTCATCCTGGCACCCTTTCCCCCAACCCTAAGCTTCTGACAATTTAACTCACCCCCCCCTTCTCCCTCTCTTCCTTCTCCTCCTCTTCCTGGATTCGAATCCAGATGAGGGACTGATTACCCCAATCTTCCCTTATTAAGAACATCAGAATGGAGGAAGACTGCAGCAGGCCTACCGGCCCATACTAAGCAGGTCGACGAAGAATTAATGTACAACATCTGGGTATCTTTATTTGTAGACGTTTCGCCATCCTGTGGCTTCTTCAATACAAGGACATATGTGAAGTATGTTGAACTATATAGAAAAGACTAGGTAATCAGTCCCTCAGGCTTGGAGTTAGTGTGAAGATCACCGTGAGGTAATCAGTCCCTCACCGTAGGCTGTGTCTTCCAATTATGTCCTAGAATTTGTATTGATAAAGCCACTGGATGGCGAAACTTTTGCATTTTTGAAAGTGAGATCCTCTGACATTATCACTCCCAGGTCCTTCACATTAGTTTTTGGCTCTATTGTGGGGTCGGAATTTGTTTTAAACTCCGATACAGTTTTAATTTTCTCGAGTTTTCCATATCGGAGTAGTTGAAATTTGTCTTCATTGAACTTCATATTCATACCCAGATTGTAGCAGGTTCGCCGGTCTTGCCCCGGCCCGGGTCTTTTCCAGGTGAAAACCCAACGATACCCAGATGTTGCACATGTGTTTAATTTTGTACTGAAGGTTGGCTGTACATGCAGGTGACCGGGGAAGGTTGTGAGTCAAGCCTCCGACCCAGTCTATGTGACCCTGTGAGGATGACTTAGATCTCTCCCCAGAATGTAATTACAGTTTACCTCAACTCATTATTCACTAGATCACGGAACGTGTCGCCTCGGTGTGTCGGGTACCCGCTGACACTTACCAACATATTCAGTGAAAATTCTAAATTTGCAGCAGTCAGCAGACGGAGGATGGAGCCTGCAGCACTGCTGGTGCTGAGTGACCCCACACGGGTTTACCTCACCATATGCAGTGAAATACACTTTGTTTCACAATCACCTCAGAATTCTCTTATTTCACCTAAATTCACGGAAAATGATTTAGAAAATAATATACTATAAAAACATTATAGTGACGAATTGAGAGAGAGAGAGAAAGAGAGAGACAACAGACAGACAGAGGCGGACACAGAGACAGACAGACAGACAGACAGACATGATGATAAGCGTGGACAATGAGACCAGAGACACAACAAAGGCGGGACATCTTTGCTCGTCCGGCCAAACATTCTTGGATCATTTCTTGCGTTCCGTTGGAATCACCCACACACCCTCACACCAGTGTTGCGTGCTGTTGGAATCACCCACACACCCTCACACCAGTGTTGCGTGCTGTTGGAATCACCCACACACCCTCACACCAGTGTTGCGTGCTGTTGGAATCACCCACACACCCTCACACCAGTGTTGCGTGTTGTTGGAATCACCCACACACCCTCACACCAGTGTTGCGTGCTGTTGGAATCACCCACACACCCTCACACCAGTGTTGCGTGCTGTTGGAATCACCCACACACCCTCACACCAGTGTTGCGTGCTGTTGGAATCACCCACACACCCTCACACCAGTGTTGCGTGCTGTTGGAATCACCCACACACCCTCACACCAGTGTTGCGTGTTGTTGGAATCACCCACACACCCTCACACCAGTGTTGCGTGCTGTTGGAATCACCCACACACCCTCACACCAGTGTTGCGTGCTGTTGGAATCACCCACACACCCTCACACCAGTGTTGCGTGCTGTTGGAATCACCCACACACCCTCACACCAGTGTTGCGTGCTGTTGGAATCACCCACACACCCTCACACCAGTGTTGCGTGCTGTTGGAATCACCCACACACCCATACACCCACACACCCACACACCCACACACCAGAGTCTTGCGTGCTGTTGGAATCACCCACACACTTTCACACCAGAATGTTGCGTGCTGTTGGAATCACCCACACACCCATACACCCACACACCCACACACCCACACACCCACACACCCACACACCCACACACCCACACACCCACACACCAGAGTCTTGCGTGCTGTTGGAATCACCCACACACTTTCACACCAGAGTGTTGCGTGCTGTTGGAGTCACTCACACACCCTCACACCAGTGTTGCGTGCTGTTGGAATCACCCTCACACCCTCACACCAGAGTGTTGCGTGCTGTTGGAGTCACTCACACACCCTCACACCAGTGTTGCGTGCTGTTGGAATCACCCACACACCCTCACACCAGTGTTGCGTGCTGTTGGAATCACCCACACACTTTCACACCAGAGTGTTGCGTGCTGTTGGAATCACCCACACACTTTCACACCAGAGTGTTGCGTGCTGTTGGAATCACCCTCACACCCTCACACCAGAGTGTTGCGTGCTGTTGACTTTATCTTTGTACGACTTTATGTTGACGTTCTGGCAGAATATGAGAGTTGTACATGTATGGTATACAATGCCGACAAGATGAACAATTTGACACATACGGAACATCTGGGTATCTTTATTGTAGACGTTTCGCCATCCAGTGGCTTTATCAGTATAAATCGAAGGATGATATAATTGGAAGACAGTAGAACTGTACACAAAAGATGAGGTAATAAGTCTATACTCCGAAGTATACTCCGAAGAAATAAGATGAGGTATACCTG